TTTCTCTAGGATTAACGTGGTTATAATTAGATTATAGTTATTATTAATTGCCTATTAAAGCAAGCTATTACTATCCCTTACTATAAAACTATAGACGCCTAAGGTATAGCTACCTTATTTATTTAGTAGGTGTACTAATTTAGATACACTCTAGATACTATTATTTCTAATTAAGGCCCTTAGTTTGTATCTAGTTTCTAGTCTAAATTCTATTAGATTATAGGCACTAAAGTTAAGCTCTCTACTACCTACTATAAATAAACTAATAGATAAACTAAGATTATAAATAAGTATATTAATTAGAGACTAAGGCCTTTTGTATCCTATTACTAAGATAACTAGAGTAACCTACTACCTATAATAGACTATGCCTAAAGTACTCTTCTATATTTATCTATTAGCATAGCTCTATATTAGCTCCTTTTTAGTTCCTTACTAAAGTAAAGTTAGTATTAGAAACTAGAAAAGACCCTATCTACTATACTAGAGAAACTAAACTATAAGGACGCCTTATCCCTTGCTACTTAGATGTATAACGCCTAGAAGATTACTAAAGAAAATATAGAAAGAGCTTAAGACTAAATACGCTCTACTACTAATTGCTATTACTATCTAGTTAACTAGAAGGTTAGTAACTATATTTATCTATCTACTACTAATCTTGCTATTTTATAACCTAGCTAAAAACTATCTAAATAATAGGAAGGACCCTTTAAGGTATTAGAACAAGTAGGAAACGCGTATTACCTCTAATTGCTACCTAGTTCTAAGATCTATAACATTTTTTCTCCTAATATACTATATAAAGATCCCTAAGACCTATTACCTAGATAAGAGGCTCTAAAACCCCCTAGTACGCCTATATAAGGTGTAAAGGAATAGGAGGTAGAAGAAATCCTAGCTAGTAAATTATATTAATCTAAGCTAAAATATAAGGTTAAGTAGGTTAGATATAATCCTAATCCTATTTAGTATCCTACCTCTAACTTTATAGGTGCTCCCTATAAATTATAGGTATTCTACTAATAGTATCTAAATTAGCTAGGTCCCCTACACAGCTTACTAAAATAGATTTAAGCCTAGGAAAAAGGTAAAGAGGATCTAATATTACTTTATAATAATTATACCTAATATTAGAACTAATTTATATCCTATTTAGCTACGTATTATCTATTAACTACTATCTATTACTATTATTCTTATTGCTATTTATTATTATATCCTATTTAGAACCTTTAAGGTTCCTAGGACACTACCCCTAGGAAACCTCTTTATTCTATATCTATCTCTCTATTAGAACCTAGTTTAGACTCTGTATTAGCTAAGATAGCGCCTAGACTATCTTTCTTAGCTAGCTTCTAGACAACTAGTGCAGCAGGTGCAGGAGCAGGGACGGGAGCTAGGACTAATTTAGACTCCTTCTTATAGAAGGCCTTTATCTTAGCTTATACTAGGAAGGTTACCTCCTAATTTAGTACTAATTCCTCCTTAAGTTTATTAATAGCCCTTATTAAGCCCCTAACTACTAAGACTATCTTATAGATACTATTCTAAAGCTAATATAAATTAGATATAGTAGTATAATAGGTAGCTATAAGGATTTTAGTAGCTTCTATACCCTTAGTCTAAGTATTAGTAATAGTAACACACTTAGCTAGGTTTTAGGTAGTTTCTTAAATAGTAGCCTTAAACTGCTTAATATCCTTCTAATAAGTAACCACAGCCTCTTTATCCTTATCCCCTTTAGTAGGGTTTCCTATTAGGCTATAGTACTCTTCTAGGGCACCCCTAAGGGCAGAGTACTCTTAACTAATAAAAGAAGGAATCTGCTAGGATTAGTAAAGGAACCTTATTAGACTTAGATACTTACTAGATTACAATACTTATTCTAGGAGATATAGTACTAGCACTTCTTAGAATTCTTTAACTTAAAGTTAAAGTTATTAAACTTGCCCCTAGCTAGAGCCCTAATGGCTCTTATATAGAGAGCGCGATAAGCAACTAGGAGAACTCCTAGTAGTACTAGTACTAGTATAGCTAAAGGTTCTAATTTAGATTAGCAACTACTTAATTATATAGATTAAATACTTACTAGATTTTAGATAGATTAGGTTAAATATTTAAAAATTTAGGGATAAAAGAATAAGAAAGTTAGTAAGTAGAGGGCTAGTTATATACAGGCTAGGGATAGGGGTCTGTGCCCTAGGAAGAAGAAGTAAAGGTAAAGGTAGAGGTAAAGGTGGATTTGTTTTGCAAAAAGCTCTTCTTTAATAAGGGATCTAAACCTAATCTTAAGGATAGGGACTATCCTTTCTCTATAGGAGGGGGTAGTATAATAATAAGGTAGAATTACCTACCTATTATTCTATACTAAGTTAGGCCTAATAAAGGCCTAACTTACTTATATATATAGAGAACAGCTTGCCTATAGTTAGGATAGGCATATTCTTCTTGTCCTTTCGTACAAGACCTATAGGTGTAGGAATCTTATCCTTTTCTATACAGACGCGCACTCCTATATGCCTTTGAGTTGTATAGGATACCTTTTAGATGCCCTACCTACCTAAGTCGTTACACCTAATAAGTATAAAGGAGGCTTAACACGCTAAGAGGGTAAAATATACCTTAGCACTCCTTATATTATTAAAGGAGATAGTTTTAATATCCTAGACTAGTAGAAATTAAATAAAGCTACCTATCCCTAACTTACACAGGTAGCACGTAATATTCTACCTATCTAGATTATAGGGGTTAGTATTAAAAGAGTATTTAACACTAGTAAGGACCTTATTAGGGACTAGAGGCACTACCTTTCTATATAGATAATTTAGTAGCTTATAGTTCTTAAACACGCTATTTCTAGTAAGGAATAGGATTCTACTATAATAGGTAGTAAGTTTATATTAGATAATATTATAGAGGATCTTTTTAAGCTTCTAGCTAGCTTTAGGCAACTAAATATAGTAATAGCTAAAGAACAGGAGGTTCTAATTTCTAGTACTTTAGAAGGTTCTAAGGCGACTAAGGATAATATACCTATATTAGTAGAGGAGTGTACTAAAACCTATATACTACCTATATAACCTTAACTAATATCTGCTTATATAAGACCTAACCTAACTACTAGGTCTATATAACCTAACCCTAACCTAAGCCTATAGCCTATGCAACCTAAACCTAACCTAAGCCTATAGCCTATATAACCTAAACCTAACCTAAGCCTATAGCCTATGTAACCTAAACCTAACCTAAGCACTAGGTCTGTGCAACCTAAACCTAACCTAGTACTATAGCTAGTATACACTAACCTAGATTTACTAGCCTAATAGTATATATAGTCGTAGGGCACTATTATTAGAATATAGGGCTCTACTAGCCTAAAGTATCTAAGTATAGGCTAGAATAGCCTAGGTTAGATAGATTACATAATTATAGGCAGTATAAATACCTATAAGAATTAATACACATAGTATTAATTTACTTAGTATCTACTCTAACACCTATTATCCTAATCTACTTTTTAAACCTCTATCTTCCTACTATAACGTCTTATAGGCACACTATACCCTATAGTTAGTCTATGCACGCATAATATAATCTAACATTATGCGTAATATAACTAGGAAGCTAGAATATAATATAATTATAATAGATTCTTATTTACTTTTATAACTCTTATTTCTAGAGCTAAGGTCCACGCTATTTAGCTTAGCCCCGTAATAACTCCCTAATACTACCCTTAACCTAGTAGAAGAGCTTAGCTTAATAACCGCTATCGCGTGACCTATATAATAAGGTCCCCTAGGCTAGTACGTTACTACTAGAAGCCTAGAGCTAGATCTGTCTACATGCCCTGTACAAGGTTTTTGTAGGACGTTAAATAACTTTAATAAATTAATTAATTAGCTATTGTCACTTGTAGGGGTTATGTTATTCCCGCGAATAGCATATCGCCTTATAACCAGATATGTGGTTTGCACCGCCTTGACGATAGCAGATAAACAAATTCTGGGTCTACCTAGAGGTTCATGTCAAGATAGAGCGATTTAACAGTAGAATGCGGAGAGAAGAACTAAGGCCGCTAAGGAGCAGGGAAGCCTATAAAGTGACCTTGTCTCACACAGCCCTCTATAGCTCTCTGTACAAAGCAGATTAAACAGATCTGCCTGCGTATATGCATTGCAAGCGTAAGTCTATAACTGTATTGACGTTCTTTTAGTGTTGCGAAGTGATGTGAGTAAGGCTTTGCAGAGAGGCTCCCCTTGTAGTGCGGCAGGTATTCCGCAATACGTCATGTGCACCAATTGCATAGCCTGTTGAGGTGCAATCGCAACACAAAAGACCCACCAAGACCACAAGGATCGACATTCTAAGGCGGAGAAAAAATTTGATCCCCACGAATTGTAGGCTGATTTATTTGTTAGCGTTAGGTTCGGGATATATAAATTTGGCGCACGGACAACAAGGAGTACCATGATTAGCGATCTCGTGCTTTGTCCAGTGTAAGGTTTAAGACGCCCTGTTGCAATTTCGACATCACTCCTCCACCCATTTGCTATTCAAAATCAAATCACTTATCACTGAAAAGTTTACCTTCCATACAATGGCCCCCAA